GGACTAACTCAAATAAAATGTGCTTATGAGAGAGAGACAACGTGTTTCTTCCTCTACTACAATTTCCCTCTCGTCTTTTCCGCCCTGCATCGTCCAGAGTTGGAGGATGGAAGTAGAAGCTCCATTAGCAGTAGATACGTAGAGATTTGACGAATCGTGGAGCCATAGGATTACGGAAATACGAAGAGAGCGAAAATCAGCCAATCGATATATGCCTAGAGCTGAGAATGAGCAAAATGCTCCCTAGAAACATAAGGGCAACTTAGTCTCCTACCAGCAGAGACCCATCAATCTCAAATGATCCTGATGTTTCAGAGCCAGTTTTGTAGACGGCAAGAAATGACGAATTCGAGGTTTTTACGAATCCATACATCTCCAACTTTGGAAGCTGCCTCTTGAGATTAATTGACATCAAGCTAAGCACCCAGCACGAAAAATTCTGCTTTTTTTCTTACAAAGAGACGTAATCCGACCTTGGAGAAATTGCAATTTTACTAGCATCCATCGTCATTCGCATATACTGTTTATGGATCCCACCCCTAAATAATCCCGTTTAAGGATAAATATGAACGGCATGAAAAACTATGGGTCATAATGAGAATGTCGTGAGTATGGCTCTCCTCCCTTCCCATATGACGCTTAAACAGCGCCGAAGACATTCATAGGTACACATAGTCAGGCAATCGAAAATGGGGTGTACCTAGTAGGCCGATCATCTATCTGAATAGTTGGCTTCATATGTAAATTTCAGTTCGTTAATTTCGAAAAGGTCTCACGAACAGTAGAATATGAAGTTAGGAATATGTCGGGATGTTTATTTACACTAACAAAATTAGTGGGCGCTTCAGAAATCTACTTCACGCAACTTTTACGTCAAAGCAAGAATTTGCGAACAAAATCTCATTCTTCAGTTCATGTTTTAGAGAGGAATTTCTTTCAGAAACTACAGAAACGTTAAAGGTAACTAGGTAGATTAATGCAGGCGATCGGTTTTCGATATTGAACTGTTGCAGACAGAATGGCCTACCCCTCATCTGTAGGAACTCATTGACAAATACCGTGAGGGTAATCCTGAGAGCTTCAAACTGATCTTTCAGTTTGAAGCTCTCAGGATTACCCTTCAAAGCTTCAAACTCAAACTGACGAGAAAAGCGCAGATAATGTGCGAATAACTGAAACGTCGCTAACTTTGTTCCCAGCGAAGTCTACTACCACAACAAACCCTTTGTTGAATGGATATTGCTGCTTTGCAGTCAAATGGTGTTAAATAGCGTGAAATATGCTTTAGTTAAACATATCAGAATTTCGCGTGATTCGCTCCACTAAGAAAAAAGTTATGAACGAAAAAGCGTGAAAGAGTTTGGCCGAATACTTTTGATCGCCACTGTATGTGGAACCGCTCTTACCGCTCCAAAATTGATGGTCGACGAAGCATGAAAACGAAGAAGAAAGGGAGACGAACCTAACATTTATGAGGCCACTAAGAGCAGATGCTTAACTACCGTTGCTACTTCCAATAAATTCCTTTTCTCTCAAATACTGATCAATAAAATCAATTGAAAGCGTTATACTGTACATAGTTCGACTAGGAAGCAGGGAATATGTAGTAATAAGAAATTTACTATGCAATGGCTAGATCGAGAGGTTCTTCTCGACTGATTTGAGAGCCTACGCAAAGCAAGACAATCAGGGCTTATTGAAGATGAAACTTCATCTAACAAAGCTCAATTCACGCGATATTGACAACACAAATCGAGTTTCCCAACTAAAGCGGGAAGCTGGACAAGAAAGTGTGGCATAGTGAAGGCCAAAGACATGAATCGCTACCCATGAAGGAATCTAGTATGCATCCTCCTTGAAATCTTCTCCATCAATCAAGCGATGACGATAACGCTCAGGAAAGATGTTAGCGGTATGATGGCAAACCGGATCCAACATAGTTGAAATCAAGGTCGGACTACCGACTAACCACCAGTCAATTTTTCATCTTCTGGACTTCAGTAATTAACTAATTCACTAATGTCTCAGGAGTAGCTATGGCCCTTGAGATGGCTCTTTAAAGGAATGGGAGGTGATAATATCGATCCTCAACCTGGGCCAGCTAAGAATTACTTGTTACTTTCCCATTTGTAATACTTAAAAACCTGGAAGACGGATCTCTTCCACCTTCTAAGGTTCTTTCTCAGTGGAAGAACTCGAACAGGTTGGTTGCGCTTCATGTGACATGAGTTGAAATGCTGGTTAGGAGGTAAATCGCCGTCTAGGAACATCCAAACACTTATCTTGCGAGGTCGATTCGGTGGATGCACCTTTTGGTTCTAACTGTCGAACCGATTCATACTCTCTGTCCTACCGCATAAATACACAAGCACGTATGTAAGGATCGTCTGCGGCTTAGTCAACCCTGCCGGCTGACGTTATCTCTCGAATCCGACTGTCTAAAAAAGCGTTAAATGGTCCCCCGAGCAGAAAACCCGCGACTATTTCAGGATGGTGCCACCTACCCACAGCATAGCCAGTTCTTATTTCACATCCTGTGAACCTTGGATGGAAGACAGAAATATGAATGGACAATATATCCTCGACCTGAAGGGGATGTCCATTATGCCAGCGTTGAGAAGGACCACTGGGGAGCGCTAAATTTTCATATCTATGAGAAGCTGCTCAGAAGAAAGACTGAACGCTTCCGATAACAAATGCATAATGCCTGCATCGGAAGCATTGAATGGAAGATCCGATGATGCAAACTAAGGAGAGCAATTATCGTGTCATCGGGATTGACTGTGGTGACAAGATTTCGCCCATTGCACGCATCCATCCCGTTCTAGAAACTGGAAAGGAACCGTTCATTAGATCATGCGACATCAAGGATCGGCGGCATAGATGTCCTCGTCAACAGGAACATCGCCTTAGAAGCTGAAATTAGAACGAAAGTAGTTTCCAGGGTTCACTACCAATTATGAATCTGTGGTCCCAGAAATTCCTTATAAAACGCTGTCGGATCGAACAAAATCTTGAAAAGGGGCAATAGAAGTTCAGCAATGGCACTGTATGCAACATCCAGGGCTCACCGCCTTCTTAAGACTTGGTAAAGGTGGCACCATTAAAAGTGAGGCAGCCTTGCCTACTACAACTCCACCATCGTGAGCTTTTCCGAGGACTTTCCATTCACTACCGACGTGGCCATTCAAATCACCCGCTGTGGTAAGATAGTCCGCTTCTGTAGCTGTTCCGATGGCCTCGTCAAAGCTCGATCAGAACTCGCCCTTTACGTTTTTAAAGAAGCCGGATTGTGGTGCGTATACCGATATTAATTTCCAGACCCTTCTTTCGTATCTATGCTCACAGCCATGATTTGATCGCTAATCCTGTTGACAATGGAGACACGGTCTTTGAGTGACTACACGACTGCGAAGGCCACACCTTTTCGTTTGATGTCTTCTCCGCCGTAGTAGAGCTTGACACCTTCTCCGATTTCTCTGGCCTTTGCTCTTTTTCCGCGACTCTCCCGGAGGCACAGAACGTGGATGCTTCTGCGCTTTATTGGATTGGCAACCTTTCGAGACTTTCCGGTGAGCAATATCACGTTCAGAGTCCCTATCGAACTAACTTCTCTGGCCGAACTCGTTCCTCAGTAGCTCTCGCGTACTCTCCACAGACTCGGTTGTGGGGAGGGGTTCTGCGCTCCACTTCCGAGTAAGTTCCTAAATCTATCACTGATCATTTCTAAGCCTTAGAAATTTTTTATTGTGACTGGGTTTCTCTATCAGCCGGCCTGGAAACCTCGGCCTGGCACCGATACCATTTTCGCAATTTTTGCAAGGCATGGATTTGACTCAGCAGGGAAAGAACTCGCGCTCTTCCTAGGGCCTACACTATTATCCACTCTGCTATTACTGCCCTCATATTTCTTCGGATCCACCAGTTTTTCCGCTTTCTTTGACACCCTTGCAATACTCAGCACCATCACTTCCACTATTCAATTCAAACTAGGTATCTCAGGATTTGAAATCGTCAGATAAAAGTCTTGAGGTTTCGCGCGATTGGTTTCGCTGATCCGTACCATTACCTTGTCGGGTTCCTCTTTTCGGTGCGGTAAGATCAAGAAAGTGTGCCTCATGGAATTCGTCCATCTTCAGCAGCAATTTGTCTGTCTGTCTGCTAGCCCATAGTACAGAAAAAGAGTGACGATTCCTCAAATTCCCTTCTCAAAGTCGGACAGACCATCTCGTCGATGAAAAATCGTACAGAGCTGAACCACGTCCCCTATAGAGCCTTTCCTATCACTAGAACCCCCGGTCGGTCTATTAGGTGCTGTTTGAGTATTGTTGCGTTCAGAGGAACGAGGCATAAACAATATTGGCAACCACTCCCCGATCTACCTGCTGCTTTAGAGCTTCAAACGTTTGACAAGGGTTTTTACCTTATGAAGGGGGTTAAATGCATTATGACTGGAAAGTTTATCCAAGCGATGAGCACTAAGCGAAAGGCGTGCTTTCAGCCGAACACATGCCCTTCTGATGCTCCTTTCACCATCGGCGAAAGGAACATTTCAGGAAACTCTACAAGATGAAGACGTTACCGATCCTTTCGAAGGCATGATAGTAGAGGCGGCAAGGACTAAAAAGAGCTGTTTTCGCACCTGTGCAACCGGAAATTTATGAAGCCGCACTCAATACCGCCGATTCAAGTTTATCCCTAAGTCCAAATTAGTCTTTTTTATTCAACGACTGTGTGCACTGATAGAAGTTTATATAGGACCTGGATGTAACGAGAACGTCATAGAGCAAAGTGATATCGTCCTCTTAACATTATGGAGGCGTACTCAAAGATCAAACATAACAATAATTTGCAACAACGAAAAAATAACAACATCATAACTTTGGAAACAAGAAACATCCCATATCTTATAACATTTTTTGAAACAGACGTACACGTATGCTGGGTTATGTGAATAACGAATACCGATGAAAATCAAATCATTCCAAAGAACATAAACACTATTGACGCCACAGCTTTAGCACTTTGTCTTTACCGCCACTAACCACTTTTGTTCCTTCGGGACTCCAATCTACCGTATATACTTCATCGCCGTGACCTGGCAAATCAAAGTGTAGCCGCCTGCTCCGAATTTCCCACACCTAAAATGTGAATAGGGTAGGAAGGTTGTTCGAATAAGCCTCAAATATTGAAAAATTGCTCTCAAAACACACTCATCTAGAAATTACGTCGATAGTAAATAGCAGTGGCAAAAAATAAGTAGAAGGGAAACAGGACTACAAGTTTGTTGTCTAAAAACTTTCGATCAACACTGTTCCTATATATACTTCGTATGAACGAACAACTCGAATTTTCGAAATGCAATCGAACTTGAAGATGAGGAAAATCTACTCACTCAATAAAGATTAGACACTTTAGACATTGCAGAAAGGAACTATTAATAGAAATAACGAGAAAACAAACCTTGAGTGTGGAATCAGCCGAACCAGAAACTAATAAGCGGCTATCAGCCGACCATGCCACTTGATATACGGCGTTGACGTGACCCCTGAAATAAGAAAAGNTCGTATGAACGAACAACTCGAATTTTCGAAATGCAATCGAACTTGAAGATGAGAAAAGTCCACTCACTCAGTAAAGATTAGCCACATCAGACATTGCAGAAAGGAATTAATCATAGGAATAACGAGAAATCTAACCTTGAGTGTGGAATCAGCCGAACCAGAAACTAATAAGCGGCTATCAGCCGACCATGCCACTTGATATACGGCGTTGACGTGACCCCTGAAATAGGAAAAGTACAACTTTATGCACGCTCTTTACAACAGCTTTGAGGTGCTGAAGAGCTGCCAATTTAAACTGAATGGTAAAATATAGTTCTATAGATTGACAGACCTCAATGAAGCAATAAATTTGCCGGTCCTCCCACACCAAAGCTTAACAGATTTGTCAAAGGAGGCTGATGCTATGTACCGTGTATCTGGTGAAAACATAACCTTAAACGAAATCTTCTTAGAACTGGATGGGAAAAAGGTGGGGGATAAAAGTGCTGCCAAAAATTCACCTGATTAACGAGCTGCTGATGACCGGTTAGCCTTGCTATAGCACTCTTAGACTCGGACGGATTCCACAGAAACATCGTGAAGTCATCTGAACCACTTACTAGTCTTTCGCCTCCGCACACTTTGAGTGCCTCCTCATAACGCCGCAGAGCAACTTTTTGACACTATAATGTAAAAATGAAGAGTTGCAAGCACAATCTATTCGGATAATAAAAAAAATAATAATGAATGATGAGTATGACAGTGGTAATGTTAAAAACCCAACTGCTAGAGTAGCTTGATAGCGTGGAGTATACAAGTGGAGTGGATACCTACCTCAGACTCACTTGGAGGTCTATTACAACCGGTTTTTGGATCAAAACAGCTTGTTCTCAGAGCATAGTCCGTGTTTAAGGCTAACGTATTGATCCAATGTGCATGGCCAACAAGATTTCTACAGATTATTCCATCGCTGGCACGCCACACCTTTACCGTGCGGTCCTAAAAAATGGGAAGTGACATTTTGCTCACTTTAATTCAACCAAAATGGTTGAAGTCATACAATAGGGAGTTACTGTAAGTGGCTAGATTCAAAGAGAATCCTTCAGAATATCGCAAAAAGGCTTTACCTGGGATCCAGAATAGATAAGCCCTTCTCCACCCCATCGTATGCTAGTCACGCAGGCTGTGTGACCTAGAATATAGCATAAAAAGTGGTGCTGAGCAGCTTTTTAAGGCTCAGGTAGGAACTTGCCACTTAGAGATCGTTCAACAGTTCCTTTAACGGTATCCCATATGAGAATATTTCCATCTTTCCCAGCGCTTGCAAGATACCTGTGAAGAGAGAACAGTGACATTTTTGATTTCGGGGAGCTCAAGGGATGAAACATACCTGCAGCTTGGATCTTTGTGCATGGGTTGCCAGGCCAAATGGGTGATCCACTGTTTATGTCGCGACAAGGTTTTCCCAATTTGTGTGCCAGTAGATGCGTCCCATATCATGATCTGGGATTATTTCAAATCAGAAGAACGAGCTTTGCTCATGGAAGGCTAGTTAAACTACGCACATAAGAATTGGTCATATCGAGTAACTTGTGTCGTGAGACCACATACCTGCCCATTTTTGCAAGCTGAAGCAATCTTCTTCGCGTCAGGGGACCATGCTATGCATAGAACCCAATTTTTATGTCCTTTACAGGTGAAAAGAGGCAACTCCGTGTCTATATCCCAGATCCTCACAGTTGTATCACCTGATCCACTAGCAAGCCCTCTAAAAACATGCTCTGATTCACTTCACAACATTTTAGATCAAGCAGGAAAAGAGCGGATGAGTTAGTGTGTTTTTACTGCTTTAGGTTAGATCACTATCCCCAAGTTCTATTGGTCCTTCCAAAATGTGCGAATAATAAACTTTCAGGCAAGGTTCAAAAGCACTTGGAAAAAAACAGTTAACGCACCTCCCATCAGGACTGAACTGAGCAGAAATGACAGGTTCTCCATGACCAGGCATGCTCGACGAACATCGTGTAACTGGTTGAACACGAAAGACAGCTTGTGGTTGGTAAACAAGGCATAGCGTCTAGATTAAGAAAAGGAAAATACTTGCAAGGATTGAGAGAACACTCTCGTAACCCAATGTGAAATCTAAGTTGGATAAGTGGAGCTGGGTCTGTTCAGCAAAAATTTCAAACACTCAACACATCAGAACAAACAAACCTTTTCGAAGTCGATTTTTTCCAGACTTTTTTCAATGCTCCCGACAATTTCGATACCCTCTTCGGTGAAAAATGATATCGGTACAGGGTCATCACTGAATCAACACATCTAACATTTTAAAATTCCACTAGTAAAGTAACATCATAAATTAGATGAAGTCTACCTGCTTTCTAACAACTGATTACAAAGGATTTGCAACTGATTCGAAGTGACCGATACTGGCAGTAGAATTCCAGCACCACCGAGCTCATCGCCATTTTCTCCCTTGAACCTAACAGAAACCTGCCCAACAGCCTCGTCCTCCATCTGCAAGGAAAAGAAATATGCTAGAACCTAAAATCAAACCAGTCATGGAATCTGTATGAACACGAATACATTTGTTGTACATCTACAAAACTTCTACTTCGACCATCTTTCAAAATTCCAGTGTAACTTGATAAAATCACTCTCACATGGAAAATCTTACGAAAGAATGCATACCACTCACAAAAATCGTAGTTTTTTTTTTGAGGATAGTGTGGACCAATCCAAATGCATCGCTGTAACAAGCAGTGGGACATATGTTCCTGACATCGTAACCACCTGGATGCTGAGGGTTAAAAGAAGCCCGTGTATGAGCTTCAAACAATGCAAATCAGCATTTATGTGGGTCGTAAGTACGTCCATCACTGTTACCTTTGCACTCGGTCCTTTACAGCAATACTTTTCTACTAGTGCAATACCATAAACTGCTCCCTCCCGGTCGATATACGACGACTATGCGGAGCACCACGAACGATCACCAAGTTCGTCTTCGAAGATGTGCTCGAGACGTAGTTGCTTTTCTATAGTGGCATGAATTGCAGAATCGAGGTCTGAAAGCCTCTAAACGGGGAATTGCCGAAGGTCGCAATTACGCCCAGTGAGTAAGGAACAGTTGACCGTAGTTCAATGAAACGGGCGGTTCGGCTCCCGACCAACGAGATTTTCCTGGAAGAATACGTTAAAATTTCTTCGTCTTTTTTCCTTTCTCCTCTTTCATTTTAGTCCGCAGGAGCTTATCCATTTCTCGTGTTAGTTGTGTACTACTTGCTAGTTGTCAACAAGTGAAAGGTTCTGTGCAATACTCGTTTTGATATCTTTTTTGTTCAGGGTAAAAATGGCCACTCACAAGATGAACTTCTTCGAGAAAATAGCTAATATGCTTGGCCATTTATACCGTCATCAGGCCAACCAGTTCCCTCGTCGATGGGAAATCCTCAAGGTGATCTTTAATTTTTTAAAGTTATTATCTTTCGTACTTGAAGGTGTTAGTAGTGGCAAAGTCTTCCTCGCATTCAACATTTTCTTTTCCTCTCTACAATCGTACGTTTCCAATCCGGAGCTTGGTATTTGTAGATTTTCCATTTTTTCACTGCGCTTAGCCAATTGTATTGTGAGAAAAAAATATCTTGCGCGGATTTTTTGTCGGTTCCAAAAGTTTCGTTTCTTGATCGTTATCTTTGGCTAATCGAAATCTGTAGGGTAGTGCTTGAAGATCTCGAAAATTTTGCCCAATAATTACTTGTGACCGGGGTTCCCCTACTTGTTATTCCCCGAATTATTAGGTTGATGCACAGTCAATGCGGATTTCTTTCAGCAAATTTTACTTACAGAAACGATAGAAATATTTAGCAAAGACTTGTTCGAATTATTGTTCCGGAACATAATAGCTATCTACGTCAAGCACGACTTCCCATTTGCTAGGCTATCGGATTCCACGGGCGAAAAAGGTTTGAATCTTTGAGGCGATCCACGCCTTGACGTCAGCCATCAAGCCATCCATTTCGTCGAAAAATCTGTTCGTTAGCCAATTTTTTCAACGGGCAATTGACGTGAAAATCCGTAGGAGTTTCTGCTGTTGAACAGGGCGAGCGTAGAAGCAGATTCCTTTCCTTATTCGACTTTGGCTTGCTGTTCCATCGCCGAGAAGTTCGTTGAGATCACTTTATGACTGCGCCACCTTCCACCTTTCTAGAATTTATAGAGCGTATTGTCTCGTATATGAAGACGAATTTCTCGAGATATTTCTGTCAAGGAAAGCAAGAAGATTGTTTCTATCAAATCCCCAGTTCATTACTCAAACAGTTTCGGAGAAAAGAAGCCGCAAAAAAATCCGCAATAATTATGCATCAGCCTATAATAATCGCCGTCATGCTCTATCGAGCATCGGCAGGGTACTGGGAGAGAGCATCACTCAAATCTCCGCTGTGGAACGCTTATCCACTCAAATCTAGAAAGGCGCGTGCTCAAAAACAAGCCTCGGTTGAGACCAATGGAAGATTCCGTCTTTCTCGACGTTTTCATATATGTAAGATCCAGACGATAGCATCTCCATTTTTGTAAACAGATTTCACAATCCTCAGGCCAGGGTTGCTTCCAGCTCCTGGTTGGAATTGGTTCCATGAATCGTTCATATTGTGGCCGATAGTGTGAGGTTCACCCATTTATATATTCGTCAATTTCACCTATTTCTTCGGTGCCGAGAGAAATGTTTGGTTAACCTGGTAGCTGGGCATGAAGTTGGGTCTTCTATGATTCTACGCATCGTCATCCGCGGCTCCTTCTTCCAGGCGAAGATCTGTTGAACACAAGCCAAATAGGACCTCCACCCAAAGTGCTCCTTTGCAGCTTCTGGATCGCAAGGAATGTTTCTTTATGAACTGCTTTAGCAGGGACACATGATCACTAGTGGCATTTACATCGATCATCTTCAAAACCTGCGGCTTTCCGAAACTCCAGGCTTTCCGGCCGTTGCTCGTTTCTGAACACTCCTACTACGGCAACACTTAGTTACCCAATGAATTGCAAACAACTTGAGTAGTGAGCGCAACTTATCAGCTTGGGTGATCTGAGATTAGTTCTCCCCAGTAGCTCACAAGGATGAAAGTCGGCCAAATAGATAGATGAGTAAAAGTGAACGAATGCTATTCTTACTCATTGGAAAAGCTCCGATATGAAAAAAAAAACAAAAAGTTTTGTTAACACAGCTTTGGGCTCGTGGCCTCCCTATCCATCCTCTTCCTCGTCATCGAGATCGGGCGATGGCAAGGTGAACCTCTCTGTAACCTCTCCAGTAGATTGTGAAGGTGTTCGGGTTTTCCATTCTGATCCGTTAAAATCTTTATATACCACGTTGCATATGTCTAGGCATGTCAATTGTGCATAACTCCTGAATTGTATCTCTTTTCAGCTTCGTAGAACAATGCTTTTTTTGCCGATAGAAGTAGAATTACGTTTCTTATTTAGGCTGTTGGAAAACACGAACTTGCGCCACCGAAAACTACAGATTGGCCAGCTATTAAGGCGGATTGGAAGAAGGTTGTACAGTTCATCCAGACTAAACAGTACAAGCAGCTTACTGTTCGGGTTGGTTTTCTTTGACTTTCCTTCTTTCGACAATATTGAACAACCGCTCTGTTCTGTTTGAGTCCAGTGCTTTAATATTTTCGTTTACCTCCTTCTTCCCCTAAGTTATATGCTTCTGCCTGGTTCTGAACCAGATTCTACCATTGTGCTCTATAGACCATTTTCAGGAGGGTCTCGTTTATACAGCCGTTGGAATGGAAATCATTTTTTGGTTCTTCGTAGGGGAAATGATCGGACGTCGAAACATCCCTGGCTACTTGGTGAGTCTGTTTTTATCTTCTGTTGGTGTTTGAAAAGAAGAACGATGAAAAGTAGTACGAATACGTGATATGCTCTTTTTAGGTGCCGGCTGACTATGTTTCTAAGGAGACACGCAGGAAGGTCAAGGCGCTGGAAGCAGAAGAAAGAGAAAAGGCGGCTCTTCACTGAGCCTAGCTGTAGCTTAGAGTTAACGTATATTCATTTTTCGCAGTTTGGATAAATCTTCGAGAGCGAATAATTGTGAAGCCTTCGAACTACGTATGTTATGTAATCTAAAGGCTTCAATTTTGTTGTTTAGTCCCGGAATGAAAATCGATTTTTTTGTGTAAAATAAGGTTCTGTCTCAATCAGTGCCTCAGCCGACAACTTCAAAAAAGACGTACCAGAGGAAACTAGGATTTTTTTCGCGCGTTGAATGAATGAAATTTTTTTGTCAAACCGGGTTATCTCAATGGTTTTCCAACGGATACCGCCGAATCTCTCTGCTGACTTGTTAAGATTACTGGATCAGTGAATCCTCACGGTTAGAACTTTTGCAAAACACGCTGAAAACGACGCGTAATTCAACACAACTTCAGCTCCCTGTTTAGATTAGTATCTGGCGAATCATGCAACCGTGGAAACGGTGAACTGCCATAATGTGGGACTGCAATAATGGAAATACGGATCCAAAGCTTGGGGTGGATAATGCGTAAGCGCAATTTAACATTCTACGTTACCAGTTTACCCAACGCTGAGGGATTTCCATTAGCGATGTTCAATGTTGAAAGAAAGGATTGAGAGCCTCCACAAGGCGACTCCAGCGTTTGCAGCATGTATGACCCATCCTTGGGAGGAAGGAAAATCCAAGCGGGTTAAACGTCAACCCTCTCCCTATTTCGAATCTCAACAGGGTAACCCCACTACTGCTGTATCCAAAAGTGTGTGTTTATTATCAATTTCAAGTGTATGGGAATATGCATCTCAGGCCCTGCACCTTATCCCTTTTCAATGCATCGTATATGTGATGGGATTATTACGTGTGGGTTATGCCGTGAAATTAAATGTCTATGAAATGATGTCTGTGGAATCTGCGTCCAGTGCATTTTATCTCACGGTAATTCTAATGCAAGAAGCCGGTTCAAGATTCACCGCATGTACTCTATTGTTGTCACAAGAGTATGGGGCCATTCTTTATGCAGATATTATCAGAATGCCGATGTTAGAATTGCACTATGTTTCATCATTATGCATTGGTAATGGAATTCCGTCAGTGTTAGGTCATTTGGTAACGTAGAATGTTAAATTACGCTAACGCATTATCCACCACGAGTATTCGATATTCCCACTATTGCAGTCCCACATTATGTCAATTCACCGTTTCCTTGGTNCTATTGTTGTCACAAGAGTATGGGGCCATTCTTTATGCAGATATTATCAGAATGCCGATGTTAGAATTGCACTATGTTTCATCATTATGCATCGATAATGGAATTCCCTCAGTGTTGGGGCCATTCTTTATGCAGATATTATCAGAATGCCGATGTTAGAATTGCACTATGTTTCATCATTATGCATCGATAATGGAATTCCCTCAGTGTTAGGTCATTTGGTAGCGTAGAATGTGAAATTACGCTAACGCATTATCCACCACAAGTATTCGACAAATATTCCCATTATTGCAGTCCCACATTGTAACAATTCACCGTTTCCTTGGTGACACGATTTGCCTGATACTAACAATACCCTATCTAACTATCGTTGCAGACGTCTTACGGTTTCCAAATTTCATGCCAAGACCTGGCAATATCAGAAGAATTGTTCTAATTTAAGGCATCTTCAGCTTGGACAGTAGTCGCCGACCTGCAGAGACGTTCAGCATTTGCCTTTGATTGGGAAGAAGTTTTTTTGTACACACCCCTTCGCCACTAATCTCTAAACAGCGAGCTGAAGTTGTGTTCGTTCGTAGGACGATAATAAACTTGAGTTGGCAATTACCCAGCTGGTTGGCTGGTGCTGTTTCCACGTGGATTCGTAGCTAAGCCATGATTTTACAATCCATCCCATCAATCTCTAAACAGCGAGCTGAAGTTGTGTTCGTTCGTAGGGCGATAATGAACTTGAGTTGGCAATTACCCACGTGGTTAGCTGGTGCTGTTTCCACGTGGATTCGTAGCTAAGCCACGATTTTACAATCCATCCCATCATTATTTTTGTCCTCTTTGGTCGTTTACCTGTTTTCTCGAATTATTTTGTTTTTCGGTGTTATGTGGTGGATTGAAAGCTTTTTTTGTCATTTGTCTTCTCATATTTGCTGAATACTCTAGTTGAAGCTTTCCTAGGGTAAGTATAAACTACTATACATCGCAATGCCAGTGAGGCATTCTTTACGAAAATATATTAGAGAGTGGACAATATAATTAAATTTCTCTATAAAATAAGTCTCTTGGTAAATATTCGTGGCATAGGTATAACGTGATCATCTTTAGCTCCTTTACTGGCTAATAGTAATCGATTATTCATTTTACTTCCAGGTATGGAACCTC